TCCTGCTGCCCCCAGCGCCCCCAGCCAGGCCCTCACCTCCAGCACGGGCTTGGCGCCGCTGTGGACGGACAGGATGTGGGTCACCCCCTTGCTCTGCAGGTTCTCGTGGTCCTCAGAGTCTGGAAACGGGAGCCATGTGGGAATTACCTGCCCTGCTGGGATCCCTGACCCCCGTTCCAGCCCTGCCTCTCATCCCACACGCTGCAGGGAGGAGGTTGGACACCCCTGGGATGCACTGGGTGCTCAGCAGGTTCCTAAAGCCCCCCTAAAATCAGAAATTACCCTGAGAACTCAGACAAGGCTGTTGTTGTCCTTGCTGTTGAGGAGGTTTCAGATATGCCATGAATTTCCTGGGGTTCCAACATGGTTGGTGAGCACAGCTGTCACAGACAGCTTTTATGAAAAATCCTTTCTTTAGGATTTTTCCTCCTGAGAAGCTGCTGAGAAGCCTCAGGAACAAAATGTAAACATTGATTATCTGCTGCTGTGGGATGCAACAGGTGCATCTGTGGTGATTAATCTATGTTAGATGTTTGTAATTAATGTCCAATCACAGCCCAGCTGGCTCAAACACAGAGCCTGAGCCACAAACTTTTGTTTTTCATTCTTTGCTATTCTATTCTTAGCCAGCCTTCTGATGAAACCTCTTCTTCTATTCTTTTAGTATAGTTTTAATGTAATATATTTAATAAAATAATAAATCAAGCCTTCTGAAACATGGAGTCAGATCCTCATCTCTTCCCTCAACATGTGAACACACAGCTCCCAGTGGACAGATCCCTTTTCTGGTTGGACTGGGATCACTGGAAATTGGGATGAGGATCTGGGGCAGCTCTGGAGCTCTGGAAGATGCTGAGATTCCCAGCTGGGAGCACATGGAGTCGCCAAGGAGAGGAATCCTCCAGCCCTGCCAGCTGCCCAAGGACCCCACAGCACCAGGGAGGGGCAGGGAATTCACTCACCACGAATATTCCCCAGGTAGAGGCCGGTGACAATCTGGGAGGTGACAAAAAAGGAGAGAGAGGATTCAGATGGCACCAGGAATGTGGTACATGATGTGGTGGGAATGAGCCCCAGCAGGACCAGGATGGACACCTGGCACAAAACTGCCCAGGCCATGCCAAACCAAGCACCAAAATCCATGGATCATTCCCACAAACGAGCAGAAAAGGCTGAGCCCAAACCCCTCAGGAGTGCAGAGCTCAGGAACAACTCAGCGCAGGCATGGGAGGAGTTTGGATGTGATCCTCTGGAGCTCCAAAGGTTGCATCTGCCAGCTGGGGATGGATGGATGCTATTTATAGCAGGATTTCTATTTATTGCAGTTTAAGAGATGTCAAGGCTGCTGGTTTGGTCTCCAACACGCTGCTGCAGGGTTATGAAGGAGAAAAGGGACAGCTGGGGGTGTTTAAGGGGTGTGAGAAACCTGCCAGAGCATTTCCAGAGGCGCAGAAAGACAGAGCTGGTTATCAGCTGGACTTGCTGCTGCCCATCTGGCCAAAGAACCCTGGTTTGAGGAGTTTTAGGGTTTTCAGCAGCACTGGGTCACATCCAGCTGGGTGCAAACATCTGGATTCAGCACAGCACAAACTGTGGAGGGGAATGCAGAGCCCTGCATGTCATGGGAGTCCAAAATTGGATCCTACAAAAGGGTCTGCACCAATCCAGCCCTTGGCAACAACAGCCTGGGCTTCCCAAAGGGTTTGGTGGCACTGGGGGCTGTAAAGGGCACTTTGGGGGCTGTGAAAGGCACTTTGGGGGCTGTGAAAGGCACTTTGGGGGCTGTGAAAGGCACTTTGGGGGCTGTGAAAGGCACTTTGGGAGCTGTAAAGGGCACTTTGGGGGCTGTGAAAGGCACTCTGGGGGCTGTGAAAGGCACTTTGCCTGTCATGCTGAGTTCACAGGGGGTGAATCCCCAGTGTTAAACCACATCAGAGCCATGCAGAGGGAGTTTGCCCTGATCTGATCTCTCTGTTGCTGTCCCAGAGTCTAATTTTAAACCGGAGGACTCACATTCCAAGTGGTTATTTAAGGACAGCAACAGAAATTGATCCCCTCCTCCAGTCCTGGAGGAAAAAGCAGCATTAAAACCACACTTCCCCCATTGCTGGGGCACACCCTGAGGGTGGGAAGGGGGGATTTTCCCTGTTATCCCTGAGGATGAAAATGCCAAGGTTTTACCACGCCAGGGATGAGCAGTTAATGCCAGCTGTCACTTTGCTGCCACCTGCACACACTGAGGTTTCACCCCGGATCTAAAGCTCAGATTTAAATCCCTGTTTGTTTTCCTAATTCTTTTGAAGTGCTTGGAATTCCAGAGGGCTGTGGGAAAGGGGAAGAAGGTGCAGACAGCTGTATTTAGGGACCTGGGAAGGGCACCCATGGGCTGCAGAAGGAGAGAACGTGCTGGCCACCATCCCACTGTCCCCTGTACCTTGCTCATTCCAGTCCCCATGGGTTTCCTGTCCCCACGATCAGGATTTGGGTGGTTTCTCAGTCTCCAAGGCTACCTGCAAACAAACACCCCAAATTCCCAGTGAGGATGATGAGGTCTGACCCCCTCCCAGGGCAGGAGGAAGGGGAACACGCCAGGAGGGAGCAAGCAGAGCCCTGGCAAACTCAGCTCACCTGAGGCTGCTCCAGCAGGTCCTGCTGCTGCTCTGGAGGGAAGGGAGCAGAGAGTGGCTGTGCCAGGAAGGGGAGGATGAAATAAAGATCTGGGATCATGGCAAGGCTCAGATTTCTCTCTGGCCTCCCTGGGTTCCACAGCTTTTTGGGAAGGACAGTCCCAGGAGGAACTCCCTTATCCCAGCAGCACTGAAACTCCAGTATTTGCTCCAAAATAAATCCAATTTTCCAGGCACAAACCCCATCTGCTCCAAAATAAATCAGTTTTCCAGGCACAAAACCCTGGCAGCTCCATGTCACTCACCCAGGTCAGTACCACAGCAGGAGCTGTGCAAAAAGCAGGGAAAAAAAGCAGAATTCCAGCCATCACCAGCCTGGAATTGTCACCCTCATCCTTCTCAGCACCTCAGAGATAAATTTAGTGCAAAAAGCAGGGAAAATCAGAATTCCTGGGATTGTCAGTACCCCAGCAGGAGCTGTGCAAAAAGCAGGGAAAAAAGCAGAATTCCAGCCATCACCACCCTGGGATTGTCACCCTCATCCTTCTCAGCACCCCAGAAATAAATTTATCACTTAAGGGATTTTTCAGCTGTAGGAAGGGGAGCTCACTGCTTAATTCCCACCACGTTACCTCACCTTAAAAACCTTCCCAAATTTGTGAGTGGAAGGGACAGAGGGGCAGCAACAGCCCAGCACAGCTCCTAAACCACATCATCTATTTCCTGATGCTTTCCTGTCCCATCAGGAAAAGAGCAAACCTAAGTCCAAGCTTGGTTTAGGTTTCAGAAAAGCAGGGATCAGAGGGACCAAAGATCTTGGGAATATAAACCATGGAGCACACAAGGAGCTCCATCATAATTCAGAAAATTCCTTCATGGATCAGCTCTGCTCACAGAGACACTGGGAAAAACAGGGATTAAGAGTTGTTAAAAACCTGCAGGGTCCAGGAGACACCAGCTCAGCTAAGGGAGAAATTTGGCAGCAGCTTTCTTAGCCCTGAAAACATTAATGCAGGCAGCAAATCTCATTCAGGAACCCAATGTCCCACCCCAAGAAACCCATGCAGAGACCAGCAACAGGCAGCTGTCAAGTTAACCAGACATTTATTAGCATTTCTGGAGGTGGAGAGGGTGTTCCAGTACAACAAGCAACGAGGTCACACACGGGTGATGGAATCATTTCATGTTCAAGCAGAGCAGGTTCCACTGAGTTGCTTTATTTCTTCCATTCGTTCTTGTCAAAATCCCACTGGGCTGTGATGCCCTGCACGGGGTTCACCCTCATGTCCAACATCCTCTTGGTCTGAGCTGAGACCCACTCGTCAGAGAAGGTGTGAGGGACAGCGCCGTACACTGCAGGATAGAAGGGAATAATGGAGTTAGGGAGTTATGGAGTCCGTTATGGAGTTATGGAGTGAGTTATGGAGTTATGGAGTGAGTTATGGAGTGAGTTATGGAGTTATGGAGTGAGTTATGGAGTTATGGAGTGAGTTATGGAGTTATGGAGTTAGTTATGGAGTAAGTTATAGAGTGGGTTATGGAGTGAGTTATGGAGAGAGTTATGGAGAGAGTTACGGAGAGAGTTATGGAGTTATGGAGTGAGTTATGGAATTATGGAGTTAGTTATGGAGTTATGGAGTTAGTTATGGAGTGAGTTATGGAGTTATGGAGTGAGTTATGGAGTGAGTTATGGAGTGAGTTATGGAGTTATGGAGTTAGTTATAGAGTGAGTTATGGAGTTATGGAATTATGGAGTTAGTTATGGAGTGAGTTATGGAGTGAGTTATGGAGTTATGTCCTCATGCCACAGCAGCAAGTTGGGAATTTTGGGCTAAGTTTTGCTAATAAAAGGGCTTTTTCCCCCCTGAAGCCATCCTACTCATTGTCCAGAGAAGCTGTGGCTGCCTCATCTTTGGAAGTGTCCAAGGCCAGGTTGGATGGGGTTTGGAGAAACCTGGGACAGTGGGAAGTGTCCCTGGCCATGGATGGAGGTGAAATGGGATCATCTTCAGCATCCCTTCCAACCCAAACCTGTGAATCCATGATCTGTTCAAACCTCCACTCCCTGCATGCAGCATCCAGCTCAAGCCACACTCCCACATGGATTCTCCAGTGGTTTCCTCCATCACCAAGATAACAGCTTCCTGCTCTCCTATTTTTGGGAGCCTCAAGGCAGGGAGCAGCTCCTTTAACTGCTGCTCTGCCTGCTGGCAGCTGGAGGCTCCCTGGAGGCTGAATCCTTAGCTGGGAAGGCAGCCAACCGTGGCAGGAACCCAAATGTTCACTACCCAAGGCAGCAAAAGAGGGGAAGCTCTGGGATCAGGAATCTCACCGCTCACTCCCTTCCATTTCCTGTGCTCCCAGATTTCTCTGAGTCAGCTTCCTGATTATTTCTGCTCCATCCCCACAAGAGACAGCTCCAGGATGGAGCTTTCAGGGAATAACAGACAGCTCCTGCTGCAGTCCCTGTTCTGGCTGCTCCCCAAACCATCCTGGCCCCACAGAATTCCCATCAGGCATCTCCTGATCCTGCTCTCCATGGAGGAGTTACTCACTGAAGTGCTTCTGCCAGATGAGGATGACTCCAGTGAGGCCAAGGAAGAACAGAACTCCCCCCAGGATGGTTTTCCACTCGTTTGTCCCTTTCTTCATCTCTGCGTAGGACTCGTTGAACTTTATCCGATACACTGGGGAAAAAAAACATCAAATCCTCTCTTTTAACTTTTCCTGGGGTCTGAAGGTGACCAGAACTCTGCAGAGGGAGGTGAACAAAGCCTGAGGCTGCCCAAAGGGGATGGATGTTAAATCAGGTTTGGCACACACCAAAGCCAATCAGTTCTTTCACCCCCACATCAATTTTAGTCTCCATTTACCAGATTATCCTAAAGTTGGGCACAAGTTACAGTGTAGACCTGAAAGAAGGAAAACTGGGAGTTCTCCTTCCTCCCCTCCAATTCCCAGTGTGGTTACTGACCCCAAAGCTTCCTAGCACCAATAATTCCAACAGGAATGTTTCGGGCTCAGCTGCCACTGAAATCCACAGGAATTTAAAATCCAAAGCAACAGAAAATTTGGAGCAATTCCTCAAAAAGATTTAAACCTTTTCTAGACCAGATTCTCCCTTCATACCACGAGAGCAGTTAGAAAAGATGAGGGAATTTTATTTGCAAGTCAAAACACCCAGGGGGAGCCTTCACTAGCTGGAATTTGGTTCATGCCAAGGTCAGTGGTTATTAACATTCAAATTCATGTTTGTGTTTGGGGCTCACTTCACCCAGCTGGACTAACAATGGCATGGTGTGGTACTGAAAGGATTTTTCTCCTGATTGGTTGAAAATAGATGGGAATCAAGAAATAAATCTAATTATTATGATTTGGTTTCTGGAAGAGGAAGGAATGGCTGAATGTGACCTCAGATATGGAACAGAAGCCACAGCAGGGGCATTGCATGTTCTGTAACAGCACCAAAGATCTTGGGAATAAAAACCATGGAGCAAACAAGGAGTTCCATCACAATTAAGATAATTCCTCCATGGATCTGTTCTGCTCACAGCCACAGGGAAAAACAAGGATTAGGAGCTGCTCCAAGCATGGCCTGGGAACAAAAAGCTGTCTGAAGACTTGAAAGGGACTGGAGTGCCAAAACAAAGGGAATGGCTTTGAGCTGAGGGGGTTTAGGTGGGATTTTGGGAAGGAATTCCTCCCTGTGAGGGTGGGCAGGCCCTGGCACAGGTGCCCAGAGATCCCTGGATCCCT